TCAAAACCCCTCCACATATCATTCTCTGAGAGAAGAGAAAACGCATAAAATATTTCATTCCCAAGTTTTTTTAATTTCATATAATTTCAAGCTCACTGCGTATATCGACGGATCAGGAATCTATGGAAGCGCAGAGGTAGATGCTTTGGACCTGCGTGACTTATTCGGTGATCATGGATTGCTGCGCTTTGATATTGTGTCCGCGGCCCAGAAGCCGTACTTGCCGTTTGAGCGTGAGTCGTCCATGGAATGTCGCCGTAATCGTTCGCATGAAAATCCAATTAGCTGTTTCCTAGCCGGTGATTATCGAGCGAATGAACAAGTTAGCGGATTCATTTTAATTTGTCTGTAACAGGTCCAAAATGTTTTGTGATGAGATGTTAAGAAGCTTTCAGTTGAACAAAATTGTGGTTAGCGACCATTCAACACATTTGGCCTCGCTTTCTCTCTCAGGCAGTTGTAATCCCCCCACCCCCTCCCCCTGTATTTAGATTCAAAACAGTGTTGCTCGCTTATGCGAAGAAATTCATCCAGAATTTCCCTTACTGGGATTTTGTCCTCGTTTTAAATTTGTTCCACTTCGACTTGCAGATGCATTCTCATTTTCTGTATAATTAGTCTTCCTTCACCCATAGACGGTCTTCCGGGTGCAGTGAGCTTTTTTAAAACTTTATTTTCAACTTTCTGAACAAAATCGGTTTTGCAGCTGGCATTGCTTAGCATGCACACACTGTGGCTTCGTGAGCATAACCGGATTGCGACCAAATTTTTGGAAATCAATCCACACTGGGACGGTGAAACAATTTACCAGGAGACAAGAAAGCTTATTGGCGCTATGTTACAAGTTATCACCTATGAGCACTGGCTACCGAAAGTTCTCGGACCAGTCAGATTTTTTTGATTCTGTTAATACTTTTTAATATGAATGTGCAATTACTTCAGATAGTGTGGCAGGCTAGGCGTCGAAACAGCCGTGCGTTTCTGCAACAAACTATTTGAATCGTTTCTGTACTGTCTCATCGAACATTGCTGATAGCCAAGATTTTGTGACTATTTTGCGGATCAAATGCTCCAAAAGCACTTAATATTCAGGACGGGTATGCGGAATTGATTGGACCTTATCCAGGATATAACCCGGAATTAAATCCAACGCTGGCTAATAGCTTCTCAGCTGCTGCTTTCCGATTTGGCCACACTATTGTTAATCCGATACTATATCGACTTGACAAAGACTTTGAACCGATAAAAGAAGGTGATTATTGGAATGTTTTCAGGAACTAAATCTGTAGATATTTGAACTATTCTGTCAAGATTTTTGATGTTTTAAATGTACTTTCTCTGAACAGTTGAGCAGAACAAAGCTTTCACAGGGCACATACCTCTGCACGAGGCTTTCTTCGCACCGGAACGATTACTGTCAGAAGGAGGAATTGATCCATTACTGCGAGGATTATTCGCAATGCCGATGAAGACACCCAAGGAGCAGCAGCTGGTCAACAAGGAATTGACATACAAACTTTTCAGTCGCGTCGAGGAGGTTTGTCCTGAATCTCGCATATTTTTGCACCCATTCTGGGCCACGGCGCTAGTTAACACTTAGTTGCTTTTCAATGCACTGTGCAGAATAAAACTTGAGCATGTTTTCTAGTACTTTAAGCTCTGCCATGACCAGGATTTCTTGAGAAAAGTGGAAAAACTCCGAAAAATTTTGGCTTCTTATCGAGTTTGAAGGAGGCTTGAACCGATGGAAAGAAGCTCTAGCAGATTTGTTGTAGATATTTCAGTAGGAGCGAGTGCTTACGAATAAGTAGTACTTATGATACAGGAAGTAATAGTTTGGCCAGTCTTCGAAGTGATGACGTGTTTAGGTACATAGAAAGCAAGTTTTCACAGTCGTATTGCCCAGGATAAATTGGCCTGTCTTGGTTGTACTTAGCAGCTGAATGGATGTGCCTAATAACATCGGAGGCTTCACATCAGTAGTCTAGTCGATCCTAGA